AGTTTTCTGGTGGTTGATTGGAGATAAGAGTTTCACAGACTTTCATGTCTAGGCTAGCTAGCTTTGAACGGTGATCCTCAGATCTCAGCCTCCTGAGGAGCTAGGATTACAGGCATGAGCCACTGGTTGTCTGGCCTACTTTGTATTTTTTTTAATTGTGAAAATACTGTACAAAGGGGTTATAGTTACATGAGCAAGGTAGTGAGTACGTTTCTTATCCAGCATTGTTGCCTCTTCCTTTATTTTTCCCCTACCATCCATTCCCTCCCACCTCCTCAGCTATTACACCCTCACTTTGTATTAAGAATAAATTTTATATTTTAACATGGAACTGCCCCCTCCCCCCAAAGGCCCCAAAGTCATGTCAAATCAGTGATAAAATATGATTTTATTTTTCAACATTTAACACCAGCATTTATTATGAGAAATGCATTCAGAGTGTGAGCTGAAGTAAAGCTGTTGTGTTCTTTTGTTTGACCAGTATTCTATAGGATGTGACATATATTGGTTTTGTTTTGCCTAAAATGCTAAGATCATTATACCTTTGGGTTAGCTATTTTGAACTTGTTTTATTTGTGTGTGTGTGCACACGCACGTGCACACGCACATGTGTTTTATTTGTGTGTGCGTGTGTTTGTGCATGCTAGTACTGGGACTTGAACTCAGGATCTTGAGCTCTTACTTGGGTTTTTCACTCAAGGCTAGTATCTGCTACTTGAGCAGTACCTCCACTTCTGGCTTTTTTGGAGATAAAGAGTTCCATGGACTTTTTCTGGCTGGCTTCCAAGCTCCTTCCTCAGATCAGCCTTCTGAGTAGTAGGATTACAGGTGTGAGCCACCAGCATCTGACATTTCTTTTGCCTTCTAACATACCTTCTCTTTCCCTGGATGGTTCAAAGTGTACTGGAACCTCTTAGCTGTATTTTTCTAGACTATTGTCTTTGAATCTCACTGGACAGGTTTGCTGTATCCTGTTAAGCCATAGTGAAGACAGGAAGGAGACTTAATTTTAGTTACTGAGTACTAAACAGAAGGTGTATACTGAATGTGATAAGATTTCAGGTCAGGTGACCTAGGATTTGGCACTCAGCTTCTTACTGAACATTCAAGGCAGTTGACTACCTAAGATGTGGGTCCAACTTTCACCTCTGCTGTTCTCTTGAAGATGAACACAAAAGTTCTTTATGACAGTACTATATTTCTGTTCTTAGCTACATGAAGAATGACTCACAAACTTAGGACAAAAATCGAGCCTTCAAGGTTTTGGTTAGCCAAATATGGTGCTGTTAATTACATAGCCCTGTGCATCAGAATCTTATTTTCCAAATAGAACTCATGAGAATTCTTAGTACATTTGCTGATGATAGGAAAATTGATTCTTGGTTTGTTTGTATAATCAGCTCCATACAATGAAATTTGGTGTCCAGCCTTTTATTTGAAAAAGTTCTGCAGGGAGGTAAATCTGATCAGGGTACATTGTATACATTTATGGAAATATTACAGTAAAACCCCTTTATACAAATAATACATGCGAATAAAAACTTCCTTTTTTTCTAAACTGTTAGTTGGTTAGTTAGGTGCAGGTTAGAACAAACTTTGTTGGTTACATATTTCCCAAAAGGCATTGCAGTCTTTAGTTGAATTTTGATCAGACAATTCTTTTTTTGGTGCTGGTCCTAGGGCTTGAGCTTTTGTGCTCAAGGCTAGCACTCTACCACTTGAGCCTTAATTCCATTTTTGGCTTTTTGGTAGTTTCTTGGAGATAAGAGTCTGCACTGGCTGGCTTCAAACTGCAGTTGTTAGATCTCAGCCTCCTGAGTAGTGAGAATTATAGGCATGAGCCACTGGTGCCATCTTATTGTTCTAATAAAGTAAGTATTTACCAAAGTTGTCATTTTCCAATTCTGGTGACAATATTGTTGAGGATGGGAAGAAAGAGTTATCTTCTCTAAGATTCATCTGCCATGAATGCCAGGGTACTCATCTTATTACATCTCTTCTTCATGGTGGCTTACCATTGTCTGCTTAGTTCAGGAATGTTCAGACTTTTTCTTAGTATGCCATTTCAAAGCCCTTCATTTTCATTTTTCTGGCTTCATTTTCCTGCTTCTTTTACACTGCCCTTTGACAAATCTACATATTTGTTGTTCGTTTAATGCTTCTTCTGTGGGTCTGCCTTTGCGTTTAGTGTTCTATCTGCTTGGCAAGTCTCTTTATCTACCTGTCCAACTTCAGCTCATCCTTCTATGCCTCAGGTTTCATGTCTCCTTTTCCATGAGGCTCTCTTTGATCTCCCTTAGCCAGAAGTAATCTTTTGGAACTTTATTGCTTGTGTGTGTGTGTGTGTGTATGTGTCTGTGTGTGTGTGTGTTTGGGTATCTGTGTGTCTGTGTCTGTGTGTCTGCTTGCATGTGCACGCATGTACGCGTGCGCACGTGCATGCTTTCCCTGGACACTACTCCTGAGCTTTTTTGCTCAAGGCTGGCTAGCACTCTATCACTTGAGCCACAGCTCCACTTCTGGCTTTTTTGTAGTTTATTGCAGATAAGAGTCTCTTCCCAGGGGCTGGGAAAGTGGCTCAGTGGTAGAGTACTTGCCTTGCATGCATGAGGCCCCGGGTTCGATTCCTCAGCACCACATAAGCAGAAAAGCCCGGAAGTGGCGCTGTAGCTCAAGTGGTAGAGCACTAGCCTTGAGCTGAAGAGCTGAGGGACAGTGCCCAGGCCCAGAGTTCAAGCCCCATGACTGACCAAAAAAAAAAAAAAGAGTCTCTTCCCAGGCTGGCTTCGAACCGTAATCCTCAGATCTCAGCCTCCTGAGTAGCTAGGATTACAGGGGTGAGCCACCACTACCCAGCTCATTATTTAAGTTTTCTCTTCCCTCCATCCCCTCCCTCCCTCCCTCCCTCCCTCCCTCCCTCCCTCCCTTCCTTCCCTCCCTCCCTCCCTCCCTCCCTCCCTCCCTCCCTTCCTTCCTTCCTTCCTTTCTTGTGCTAGTCCTGGGGCTTGAACTCAGGGCCTAGGCACTATCCCTGAGCTGCTGCTTCTTTTTTTTGGTCAGGGGGCTTGAACTCTGGGCCTGGGCACTATCCCTGAGCTGCTGCTGCTGCTTCTTCCTTCTTCCTTCCTCCTCCTCCCTCCTCCTCCCTCCTCCTCCTCCTCCTTCTCCTTCTCCTCCTCCTTCTTCTTTTTTTTGGTTATGGAGCTTGAATTCTCGGCCTAGGCACTGTCCCTCAGCTCTTCAGCTCAACGCGAGCACTCTTCCACTTGAGCCACAGTGCCACTTCTGGTTTTCTGGTAGATAATTGGAGATCAGTTTCACAGACTTTCCTGCCTAAGCTGGCTTTGAACTGTGATCCTCAGATCTCAGCCTCCTGAGTAGCTAGGATTACAGGCGTGAGCCACAAGTGCCCAGCTTCCCTGAGCTTCCTTTGCTCAAGGTTAGCACTCTACCTCTTGAGCCATAGTACCACTTCTGGCTTTCTTTTTATGTGGTACTGAGGAATCGAACCCAGGGCTTCACCACTAAACCACATTCCGAGCCCTATCACTGCACTTTTCTCTTGGGATACTTGCTGCATTTTCTTTTCTGTCTATTTGTATGTGGAATGTTTTGTCTCCCTCAGGAGACACACTACTCCCTCAAAGGCGTTTCTAGTTTTTGCCATCATTAATACTACTTACCCAGTCAATCACACAACAGTCAGTAGAAACTCAGCTCATTCATGTGTGAAGTGTCAGTCACCTTGACAATATCTTTATTTGGTATTATCTTTTCAACCCAGATAACCATTAGAGCCAACCATTATCTGTAAGGGCGATGGAACAGTTTGTGCTATGAAACCCACAACACCTCACCTCTTGTTGATGTACTTAGAAAGTTTATGGTCTGAGAAAGTCTGGACCTTTTAAACCTCGGAAAGCAGGTGTATTAACAAACTACAGAATTTTCAAATAAATGAATTCCATTACCTCACTATTGCTGGATGAATTGGCCTCTGACAACACTTAAGCATCAAAATACACACAGTGCCTTTTTCAGGTGAGAGGCTGACATGAGCAATTTGATTAACTTTTAGGAAAGTCTCATGAAAAAGGCTGAACTTTTCCCTATGTGCTTCTCTTGAAACATGCCCTGTGTCATATAAAGTAACCCTATTCCGTTTCATTATTGTCCCAAAGTATTCTTAGGCACTAACTGGGTTCAGGGGTTACAAATTTAGAATCACAATATTAACAAATCCAATTAGACATCAGAAGTCATCCTCTATCAGATGGGCTGTGATCCCAACAAACATTTTTTTTCTCTTTTCAGTAACAGGCAAATTTTCTACATTTTTAAGTTATCCATTTCATTAATTAGGTCTTTAGATACTCCTTGATTATAAAGATTGTATTTTTGCTGGACTGGAAGTATAGCTCAAGTGGTAGAGCATCTGTCGTGAGCAAAAAAGCTAAGCAGAAGTGCAGTGACCTGAGTTCAAGCCCTGGTACAAAAATACATACATATGTATACATACATACATACATACATAAAATATTAGATAAAACAAGAGGATGACTGATCAGTGTTGAGTAAATCTTTCCTTCTATGGCCAACCCCCCTTAGGTCTTTGTTTTTTGTTTGGTTTTGGATTTGGTTTTGGTTTTGTGACAGTCCTTAAGCTTAAACTCAGGGCCTGGGCACTGACCCTAAGCTTTTGTGCTAAGGCTAGCATCCTACTATTTGACCCACAACTCTACTTCTGGCTTTTTGGTGGTTAATTGGACTCATGGACTTTCCTTCTGGGGCTGGCTTCAAACTGAAATCCTTAGATCTCGGCCTCCTAAGTAGCTAAGACTACAGGCATGAGTCACTAGTGCTCCACTAAAAGTTTTTTTTTTTTAATAAGGTTACTTACAGTTTTTTGTTTCAGTACCCCTTGCTAAAACCATTCTTCAGTGAAAATATATAATAATGAAAATACAAACAACCAGTGACTGTGTTTTCTTCCCACCTAGGATGTGTCTAGTCAGAATGAAGCAGGAAGGTCGGAGTGGGAAATATATGTGTCGCATCATCGTTCATTTTATGTGGGAAGATGTTGAGCAGCGTGGTAGAATCATGGGGGTAAGTGCTTGCCATCACATTCTGGTCCTGGACAGCTGTGGTGACAAGTTGCATGCCTTGAGTTTGGGGTTTTTCTGATTTAGAATGGCCTTTGGGGTTTCTCTAGAGGCTGCCTGTGTCATGAGGTCATTTAGCTGGAGTAATTCTGCCTCTGTGGAGACTGACATGTCACTGATAATTTATGTGTTTATACACATGGTTGTGGCTTGTTGGCATGAGGACATCTGTGTGTGTGTGTGTGTGTGTGTGTGTGTGTGTGTGTGTGTGTGTGATTATAAAGCTTAACCCATGGTGATAGGAGTAAGGGAACGGGTGAATGGAAGGAATCAGAATCTGGTTTAAGGACACTATGCTTTTGACACTAATTTAATATTTGAACTAGTCTAGTTTTAATGGAAATATCTTGGTATGAAGCTTTGAGTCATTGAGACCTGAAAAGCAAACTTTTGTGTGGGGTGTATGTGTGCGCACACACACACATGAGTGTGCATGTGTACCGGTCCTGGGGCTTGAATTCAGGACCTGGCACTGCCCCTGAGCCTTTTTTGCTCAAGGTTAGTTCTCTACCACTTGAGCCACAGCTTACTTCTGGCTTTTTGGTATTTAATTGAGGATAAGGGCCTCATAGACTTTTTTGCCTGGGCTTACTTTGAACCATGATCCTCAGTCTCCTGAAAAGCTATGATTATAAGCATGAGCCCTCAATACCTGGCCCCAAAGCAAACTTCTTGATCACTACCTTCTTGATTATAGGCTGATGCCTATAATGTTATTTACTCAGGAGACTGAGATCTGAGGATCACTGAAAAAGCTAGTCATTGAAAAAAAACAAGCTACGGTATGAGACCCTGAGTTCAAGTCCCAGTACCAGCCCCCAAACTAAAACAAAAGTGTATTAACATAACTTATCTTATGCACATTATTCTGAGTCTTTGCTATTTCATTCACTTAATATATAATAGATATGTCCAACTGAATCTGAAATCCCTTAATCATCATTCTGAGTCCTTACTATTTACTTTTTTCTAAGAAGTATCCATTTTTTCTATTTTGGTGTATATTTTTGAAGACTTCCTTATGTTATTCATTGAAGCAAAACAGCAACAACAACAAACTCAAATAACACTAGTAAAATCGCTAAACTGTAGTATTGGGTTTGATAAAGAAACAACTTTAAGGAGGAAGGGGTTATTTTGGCCTCAGGGTTTCAGAGGATTCATTCTATGGTTGCTTGGCTCCATGAAGCTATGGAACAGAAGATCATGGCAGCAAGAATGTGTGGCAGAGCAGGTTGCTCCCTTCATGGTGGACAGAGAACAGAGAGAGCCAGAAAGGGTCCCTGGTCCTTTTCTTAAAAGTAAAACCTATGCCGGGCGCTGGTGACTCACACCTGTAATCCTAGCTACTCAGGAGGCTGAGATCTATGAATCACGGTTCAAAGCCAGCCGGGGCAGGAAAGTCCGTGAGACTCTCATCTCCAATAAACCACTAGAAAACCGGAAGTGGCACTGTGGCTCAAGCAGTAGAGCCCTTGCCTTGAGCTGAAGATGGCAAGGACAGCGCCCAAGCCCAGAGTTGGAGCTCCACAACCGACAAAAAAAGAAAAAAAAGTAAAACCTATGCTTTACTTTTACTTTTATAATTCACATATGCTTGTGCCATTGCCTCTTGGCATCATGTGCTTTTTCTGTATAAATTGTAATCTTTGAGATGATCACGGGAGGGGATAGTTGCCCTTTGGGAACCTTAGTTGAGGGTTTTTTTTTTTCATATTTTCCTAATATCTCTGATGGAACTGGTATATAGGAAGCTAATGGCATGAATTTGTCTTTTAAGTATCTCTGTTGACATTTACACATCATTCTCTGGGACAAACAGACCAGTGACATTTCATTCAAGGAAAAGGAAATGTATTGAAGTTTCAGTGGCTATCATCATCATTATCATTCATTTTGAAGTCAATATTGAGCTCTCTTTGTCATTGCCTTCCTTGGCTCCTGTTTCATTTTTCTCACTGCTGTGCCTGCTGGCTGTCTTAGTTGCCCTGAGTGAGATCAGCAACCTTTAAGCTGTTCACACAGCTGGTGTTCTCCATGCCCTCAGTATTTGCTACCCAAATTTTGTGGCAGCACACAGTAGACATAGGGTGGGGTTGGCTGTCTCAGATCATCCCGTTTAATGACGACCCAGTGATACCCTCTAGCTAGCCAAAGCCTTGTCTGACTGCCAGGAAGTTATGCAGTAAACCTGTTTTTCTTATCACTGTTGACTAAACTCTCCTAGAAGTGGGGCCACTAGAACCACATGGGCTACAGCTGTCCCATCTTAAATAACTTAGTAAGCAATAAATTTCTGACTTCTGGACCACAATAATCTTTCAATTGCTCCCCTCCCCCATGAATTTCTCATGGACCTCTGTGTAGCCATCACAACAGTCAGCACCCTATGGGTTACTTTGTATGTAATGTTTCTTTTTCTTAACTATAAGCTTTATAAAATCAAGAAACTATCTGATTCAGTGTTTTGCTTATGTGGCAGACATTAATTGGTAACTGCTACTTTTCCAATGAACTTTAGCTTCTAGAATTGTTTTTTATTTTGTTTTGTTTTGTTTTGTCAGTCTTAGAGCTTGAACTCTGGGCCTGGGCACTGTCCCTGAGCTCTTCAACTCAAGGTGAACACTCTATCACTTGAGCCACAGGGCCACTTCTGGTTTTCTGATGGTTAATTGGAGATATAAGTCTCATGGATTTTGCTGTACAAGCTGGCTTTGAACTGTGATTCTCAGATCTCAGCCTCCTGAGTAGTTAGGATTACAGGTGTGAGCCACCAGCTCCTGGCTTAGAATTCTGTTTTAAAGCTAACTTATTTAATCACATAAATCCTACTTGATTAGGATCCTGTCCAGGTGTACATCTAGGGCAGTCCTACAGGAGTCTTTTTTTTTTTTTTTGTCTCCCATTCTAGCCAGTCATTTTTAGAATTTGGGTTGTTCTAGGTGGGGTGCCACCCTATTGGAATGTGCTACTGTAAGTGTCTAATATATTTTATGTGCCTACAATTCACCTGAAGATCTTGTTAAACTATAGATTGGGGTTCAGTAGGTTTGGGATGGAACCAGAGAGTCTATAGTTCTAACAGGTTTCTAGATGTTACCAGTGTTACTAGTGCTGCAACACGGAGAAGGGGCAGCCACACAAATGCAAAGTTTTAGGTGATTCTGTTTTTTAAACTGCCTTATCGAAGAGAAAGGCATAAGCTTTGGTTTAGTTCGAATGATTATTTTAAAAGATGATGATTTAAAGCTAGAATTTTTAGGAAATGGAGCTATGGTAGAGTGCTAACCTTGAGCACAAAAGCTCAGGCCTCGAGTTCAAGCCCCACAGCCATCAGGAAAAAAAAAAGGAATTTTTAATAAAAGTTAAAAGTAATTTGGGGGATTACAGTTACTACTTTTCAATTATATTTAACTTGATCCTCCTTCCCAACCTCAAAATATAAATAGACCTCCTTTGTATAGGAAAGACAGTTGTGTGGTAACTAGTTGTAATGTGTGTGTGTGTGTGGGGGGGGGATCTTAGTCTTAAGCTGAACCAGTGGGACATGTAGCTAGAGAATAGTCGTAAGCAGCATGGAACTGGTCTGAGCTGCTTCTCACTGTGGTTGGCAAATGTTTCCTCTTCTAAGCTTCAGTTTCTTTATTAAAAACAAAAACCAGGTGGTAGTGGTAGTGGGGTACCTATGCAGTTTCCAAGTTTCTTTCTATAGCTTTGAAAGCCTATGATTTGAAGGTGGTAATTTGCAAATCTATCTCTGTGTTATTTGGCATCCCAGGTGTGCCTCTAAAAGAAAACTCATATAAAAAGTAAATTTTATAAATCCAATCAAATCATTGTAGTGATAATTTTTTTTTATGCCAAAGAATTCTTGGAGGCTGTTACTTTAAATGGATTAGTCTGGGACGGATCCAAGACCAGGAAGGCCACTAGCAAGTTCTTGAATCAGAACTTTGAATGAGGAATGTCTTTGAAATTAGAATTCCAATCAAGCACTTCTTTGACACTAGGATTTCTCATAGGTGGGAAAATTTTGACTTTACAAGTTTTCCTTTTTCTCAGCTTTTTAGGTATGCAACTATTGTGAAAAATGGGTAGATTCATATGTCATTAGTGAGGCAGGTACAAAAAGCATGTGTTAAATTTGAAGTTACAAAAAAATCACATCAATAATTTAGTGTTCTGACTTAAAAAAAAACATTATTTGTGATTTAAGCTTATGAATTAGCTGTGGAAATAAAGTTCATTATATCACCTCATCTGGTCTTGTTTTATTTCATTAACCAGTTCTTACAAACCTTTGTGAGTTGAGTTGCAGCTGAAGAGGTTGGAGACCGTTTTTCCTTGGGACCTTGCCGCACTCCTGAGTGTTAGTAAGAGCAAGAACTGAGACCTGACACAGCTGTAAAAACAGACAGCGCCTTTGGCCTCAGCACTTTCTCCTGATGCAGGCAGATTTCAGATGTAAATTTTACCCTGCCTCTCTTACTAATGAAGTAAGTTTCTTTTGCTGGGTTTGCAGCCAGGTGTGTCCAGTCTTGTGGCTAACCAGGGTGCTTTACTTCATTTTTCCATTTGTGACATTTCAACCAAACTTAAAAAACATAAAAACTAGCTCAAGGCAGTGGCACATAGTGTTAATGGTAACCTTAGGCTGGCTAAATGACTTCCTCTCAGTTCTGTTTTGCCAGACATCTTCGCCTTGTAAGGCTTACAATGAGCAGGAGACATTGGCAGGAAGAGGTCAAGAGGGCCATAGTTAAGAAATTCCAGTTTATCAGTTCCCTCGGCAAGACTTCTGATGATGTCTCGCTAGTAGTTCCAGAATAAGAATTGAACCCCAGTCACCTCCTGTAGCAGGGATGGTGCAGAGGGATGAGGTGGGGGAGCTGTGGCCTAAAATGGACTCCTTTGTGAACTTCTGCTTTGCTTTTCAAAAAGAAC